TATAATTTGACTATTATTTGACACACGATATAACTTATACGATTTTTTTAATACACTTGCATGGAAATTACTAAATATAAACTACAAAACTTGAAAATGAATTTTCATTTAAATAACGAAAATATTTATGAAATAGAAGCATAATATTGTAGAAGCATGTAAATTGAGTTAATACAGAAGTCAGTACAAGTTATATTAAAAATTTATTTAATATCAATATTGATATTTATATTAATATTACCTTTAATAATAAGGGTATAATTATTATAACTGATACATATTTAGGAGCATGCATTATAGGTGAATATTAATAACGGAAAAATATAATAATAAACGCAAATCAACAATATCAGTGATTTTAATACCGATATTTATGATTCTTTTACGAAATGGATTTATTTATAAGGGTAGATCAATAATAAATAATAGGAAATAATAATAGAAATAATAATCAATAACCATACCATTTAATAATTTATGATTAATTGTTTAAAACTAATTTATAATTATAATAAATTAATTAAGATTTATGATTATGCAAAAAGATACAACAATTTATTTCATTATTCTTAATTGATAGATAACGCGATTAACTTTGGTCTGCATTATTGCAATGAATATAAGATTCAAAAATTCAAATGCAATCCAAAAATGGATATTACAAACTCAAATAGCTCTAACACTACGTAAATGTCTATTATATTAATTCGTAACGTCTTAGTTTACTAATAATAAAATTGAAAAAATTTTTGCACCATTTTACTAATTCTCAACTTTTTACATCCAAAATACATTTCTACTCTCCATTTTCTAGAGTTAATAAATTTATCAAATCAGCAACTCTCAAATGCTCATGCAATATTATAAACTGCATATCTAACAGTATAACAGTCCAAACTTCCCCAACAAAATCATCACGATTACCCAATTTCCCTAGCCATGCTTAATCCAACAATTTTATATCAACAGAGGCACATGTTTCGTTCGTTATTTTAACAGACAACGCCGTGAACTGGTTTCACACTAAAACACAATTCTCTATTCGTGTTTCACCGAAACGCGTACAAAGCTGAAGATCTCTCAGCAAAGTTCACCCCAACATTTTCATAATCTCGCGCCATTATTAACGGAATAAGCAAACAACGCGACTACACTCGACGTCTACCGTTTCCGGCGGAAACCCATTCGCCATGGCCGGTCCTTAGTTTCCGAGACTTCCCAAAAACGGCCTCTACCAGTAGTCGTAGAATCCGTCGCATTAAACCGTTTACTTGGAATCGTGTTTTACGCGCACTCACATTATGCATATACCACTACCACCGATTATTCGAAACAAAATCTACGGTCACATTCCCTTCCTTTATGCAATCAACTGTTCAAAGAATTGTATCAACCGTAGAGACTCAATCATAAGACTTGAGAATCTGTCTGAAGTTTTTTGGTGCACCGTGATTGGCTACTATGCATAGGATGTTTAAAAAGTAGGTTCTAAGACACAGGTTACAATAGATAATATTAGTCGAGAGCACTATTAATTAAAAATCAAGAAGTTCCTTTGTAACGTTGTTTGGTGCTTTATTAGTGGTGACAGCCTTAAGACGATTTATCACTTAACTCACTAGCACCACCACCACTTGTAACCCCTATATACGTGAATATCATATATACCATATCGAATTATTATCTAATTGTATTGATATAACTTTGGGACTTTTTATTTTAAACATTTCAGTCGTTGATAGAATTTTTCTAGATAGGAAACTTCTCTTAACCATTGAATAAACCTGAAAGCGTAAGATGAATAAAAAATAACACGAATGCGGCATTATTCTATAAGGAAATAGAAAGAAACATCTCTAAGTTGGCATGTATCTCAAGCAATATTTCAAACACGCCAACCACAACGCTTTATCAGACAAGCAAACGCGAGAAGTTGCTCGAAGAGTTAGTGTGCATGCACCTAGATATCCTTGGCTAGGTCAGCTTCTAAAACGAAAACTGTGTTCTTGTGCGATTTTGTTTTCTTCGTGTTGTGAATTTCTTGTAATTCTAGAAATGAATATTCTAGTGTGCCACCTCCTTTAATGTTATATTCGCCTAATACAAAATGACAAAATTGCTTAATGAATTTATGGAAATATTACAAAATTTGTATCTTCAAAATTATTTTATTTAATTCCTAGGATTTGATGTCCTTTTCTATGAATATTGTCGATACAAATTATATAATATTTATATAAAATAAAGTGACGTACTGAAAATTAATTTTCAGAAATTCATAGAAAATGATGCGATGTATTAAAGGTATCTTTTACCTAATTACCCTTTACCTAAATTCAAATCACATCTGTTAAATGCTGTTAGATTGACAGGATTGTAAAAGAACGTTTACTGAAGTAAATTTTACTTTTCTTCCTTCAGTTTTCTCTTCCTTTCCTTCTTAATTAAGAAAATTGATATTCAAAAAAATATACGCAGCAGGAAATTGGAAAATCAAGGATGGCGGCAATAGGTTGTTGGCAGAAATAGGTTTGAGAAGAACATTATTAAAAACAATTTAAAAAATGAAAAGAATATCAGCTTACTGTGGAAAGATAATTACGATAATTATTCAGTACACGTGGCATAAAAATTATGATAAATAATATTTAATGAACAGAGGAATTCAAATGTTTTTATTGGTATTCAAATTATCTTCTTCTGTTATAATGGTCGGTAAAGTTTTGTTTAACATGCAAATATAGTAAGAAGTCGTTGTGCGAGTGTCGCATAAAAATTCCATGAAATTCGTCATGTCCTCGGAATAGGAAACATCATTTTGAGGAATCGTAACTCATTTTGCGACCACAAGACAAGTTTAAGGGTTTAAGTTATGACTAAAGATTTTACTGCTCCGATGATATCTTTAGAACTACCTGAAACATTCTCGAACAAGGGTTGCGTAACTTTTAATGTCTGGACTTTTTACGTTACCTGCATGAATCTTGTATAAGAGGAAAGAGGAATTAAAAGGGAATTTTAATAAATGTGCCAGATATCGTCATATTTTATATTTTTTTATACGTTAAATCTCTCTTCCCGCTGATTCGCTGGTAGAGAGATATTAAATAACCATTTTAATTCCTTTCCTCTAAGTGAATATTTTTGGTGACGTTGCACATGATACTATCGAAATGTGGATATTAATATAGTAATGTTGACTTTAGAAGTAATATAAATTTCGAAATTGAAAAATTTCAGTTTAGAAATTTTTAAATCTAAAAAATTTAATTTACAATTGATATTAGTTTCGAAATTGAAAAGTTCATAATTTTCAACTCGTATAAATTATCTAAAATCTAAAAGAATTGTAATTTTCAAGTAATATAGTTTCTAAAATCAAAAAAATTCGAAAACATTACAATCAAGGCGAATTAAAAAGTAATAAGTAATTAATAATTAGTAGGTTTCATTATTCTTTACATACTATGCTAATTTTCTCTTGTCCTTTATTGTTGAAATTTGTTATTGCTTGTATTTTAAAATTAATTTGAAGCAAGAGAGTACATTTATAATTGGAAAATATTTCAATAATTCTATGATATTAATTCGTATGAACGTAAAATGAAATACAGGAGCACAGTTGCACTCGAATGTAATAATCGTTCTTTCTCTTATGTCTAATCCAATTTTGTCTTTTCCAATTATTACTTCTCCTTGAATTCCTAAAGCCTTCTCTCCAAAATAACTTTGAAATTATATACTCAAGTGTAATATGTAGCAGCATTCAAATTTCCAACAGTAATGTTTCACTAATTTCTATATGCATGATAATCCTAGAATTCTTCGAATATTTCGACCAATATTGTTGTGAAATGGGAAATTCAGAAATAAATTGGTGCAGAAAATTGTTAAATGAATTAAAATTATATTTAGGTAATATGAAAGGTCTTCTGAAATATGCATGGAAAATTTTATACATAGATTGATTTTAATTCCTCAAATATTTAAATCAATATTCATGGAAAATAAGAAATTCATATGTGGTTTATATAGTAAATCAATTAATTATGTAATTATTATAAATTAATGATAAATCCATATAATATATTAAGACAGGAAATTTCAAAACGAATAAAAAATGGGTTTAAGTAATACAAAAATTTGTTTAATGTTATGCATAGGTTAATTTTAATATTTCGAATTAATATTTATAATTAAAATTCACAAGAAGTGAGAAATTCTGTATTATGCTAAAAAGTATATATTTCAAACAAATTAAAAAATATTTCTAAATATTGTACACGTTGTTTTTAAACGTATAAAATAACAATAAAAGCTTCTTTAAAATTTTGTAATTTTCTTATTATGGAGATCATAACTAAAATTATATTTAAAATTATTACGAAACTCATATTAGAAAATTATTAAGATCAATAAAATTAATGTTCTCACAATTCTCAAACATTTTTTCAATTTAAAATAATATTAGTTAGAATATAAACGTTTGCAATTAACAAAAATGATTATGTAGATTTCAAATCATTTTCTATAAACAAATTCCTATCCTTAAAATCTCCATTATTTCTCCATTACTTGCAATGTGAAAAATTTCCATTAATCACCTACTCTCCGCGAACTCGAAATGCAACGAAAAAAGATAACGAACGCTATTAATATATTACCAACCCCCTTTAAAAAAAAGAAGAAAAAAAATAACCGCTTCGTTAAATTTTGGCCAAATCATGAATACGCGAGCCTTCATAATCTGTAATTAATTTTACAGGTGCAACTGCGCGATAAATCTTTTCGTTACAACACGTTTTCCTCGCTCAGGGGTTGTTTTATTATCTCATCCCCGTGACGCTTTACATTTCCATAAATCGCGTCCTGTCTTACCAGGCCGCGAAAACGAAGGAAAAAAGCTCGCCTGATAGATGTATCGTCGAATATCCAATTAAAATAAAATTAATTGCTCGCGATAGCCCGGCTTTCAACTCTGCTGTGCTTTTTTGTTTCAGTTGTGTGCGGCGTCGGGGCGGATGTGGCGTACCATCAGCACGTCATGGGGTTTTACGTTACGTGAGGATAATTCAACATGCGTATACCGTAATTCAACTCAATTATCAGATTCCAAGGACCAAGTATCGAGAGAAAGAGATAAAATATTCCTTATTCGGTGTATTTCATTATTTCGATGAATCATTGTTCCTTTGAAAAATTAATGAGTATATGGACAGAAATTCTCTTTCACGATTGAGAGGTTTGGAATTTAGTCAAAATTATTATACGTGCTTTTTGTTTGTATAATAGAATTTAATGCAGATATGAGATTCTAAGGACCAAGTATTGAGAGAAAGAGACAAAAGATCCTTCATTTGGCGTATTTCATTGTTTACTTATGAATTATTATTTTGAAATTTGATGAATAGAAATTCTTTTTTACAATTAAGTTTTATATAATAAGGTGATTAATGTCAGGACATTTGCATTCTGAAAATAATATAAAATATATACAAAATTTTATATTATCTATATAATTTAAGTATAAAGAATGATAACTGTCTGATAATCTTTTAACTTTCATTATCAGAAAATTTACCTTTCACAATTTAAAGTCCAAAGAAAGAGAAATCATTACGAAGATTGAAGATCTCAGTTTGAGAAATTACCTTTGTCCTTTATTCTTTCTACAGTCGGTCTCCGTCATTTTCATCTGTTCTTGAAAGGAGTAAGGATAATTAGGTGCACGATTCATGAATCATTCTTGCAAGATCTCAGGTTACAAGCTGAAATTAAAACTATCACACAAATAATCTAATATATATATATATAAAAATATATGTAGTATACTATATTACAAGAAAATTCATTCAACCAGACAGATTTGATTTTAATGAAAATTTGTATACGTATGGAGCACAATGAGGTCTACCTGGAGCAATTGTTTTATAGACAGAAAATCTTTTGAAAATTGCCAAATATACTCTTCAAGTTCCATTATTTCCTCATACTCTGATTATAATTTCTTTCACAATAAAGTGATAGAAATAGAGATATTAAAAATCTAGCATCCCTTATTTTGCTGTTAAAAATCAACTAATTTTTGATTCTTCCAACGTTATGAATATAAACGCCTGCAAGTATATGGCAGGCAAAGATTAGAGACTTTCAAGAAAAGGAAGAACCGCAAACTCGCAAGAAGAAGAACAGACTTGCAAAAGAAAGTCGAAAGAAGGGAAAAAGGTGATAAAATAGACAGTGAAAATGCCTGCCTGGCCCTGGCTAGAAACTAACCAACAGACCCAGGCAAATCCTTGAAAAAAATATTAAAGATAGAAAATGCAATATAAAGGACAATGGCTAATGCTCATACAAATGTTGAATGAAAACAGGAACATTAGGGAAGAAACGAACGGAACATACTCGCAATAATTCACTCTTACCCTCTAACTCTGTAGTGGAGGTACCATAGCCGTCACAAGCGGAAAAATCAGGCGCATGAACGAGCGAATCCCTTATTTTCCTTATTTTCCCGAAACAGAGTCGATGGGTCGGGAATCGAATCTATTCCGTGAGAAACCTAATTCCAAGGCCTGACTCGATTAGCCACGAACGGAAGCTTTCGCCAGCGGAAACCGCTCGAACGAGGTTACTGGCGACGATTACCGAAATTTCTCGATATCCCGTGCAGACTGTCGTTTTTCCGCTCGCGTCCCGCGACATCGATCGCGTGCAGCATCTTCCACGGACGTGCATGCGGAAAAACGCGCACGCAGATAGCTGGAGCGTGTCTGGCAGCTTATTTTCGGCAGAGAAATGGCCCTGGCCGTAGTTTACCGCTCCAGCGGCATTATTCTTACGGCGAAACGTGTCGCACGAGTAGGTAGGAATATCGGGAGGCAAGAAATTGAGAAAAATGTTTTGCATTTTCAAACGTTATTGCGTTACCTTCCAGCTGGGTACCGGATGTCGGCGCGTCGCTATTGTTGCACGAGGAGAGCGTGCCTTGTGTGAAAATTGATCCTTGGAATAGTAGGAAGGGATTAGGTTGATGAGATGGGATGAAATGATTAGGATAGGATCTTGGCTTTAATCAGTAATTTGTCTTAAGGAGGACAGTGTGCTATTGTCGTTACAAATTTATATTGTAGTTATTTGCTTTTGTAAAGCACGGAGGGTTCTTCTCGTTTAGACAAATAAACTATTATTATAATTATTGTTATTACGTTAAATATTGTTATTAGTGAATTGCTGCCTGATCGATTAACTCACAAAATAGAAATTAGATGTTTATTTCAAATATTAATTACTGGACATTCGACACTAGTCACGTATGTGTTTTGATATTACAATTTTTTAAAATTATTTCTGTTATTTTTGACCTATACCCTTCAATACCATAGTATATTACACAACTAGACTCATTTTAATGATATAAGAAAATATGAAGCACTCCATTTAAAAAGGTGAAGGTCACCTTAGTTTCTCAAATAATATTGTAAATACAAGAAATTTATAAAAATTTCGAATATTTACTATTTACAAAACAAACACTGGTCCAAATTACAACGAACATCCTGTACATCTGTGCTCTTAAAGGGAAACGTCGTAGGTCACGTATTTTCACTTTTAAAATATTATCATTTAAAACTCTGAATATCAGTAATCCTCATTATCATTCAAAATTATAACTTAATAAATTTATTATTTTTCTGAAGGTATAATATTTGTCTTTATTCAATTCTCCTGATAAATGCTTAAATCATATACTTTCTACTCAATTCAATGAATAAACAAAAATTCGTTTAAATTGTAAAATATTTTCCCTTACAACGACATATTTGTAGCATGTCAGAGTTTTAAAAAATTCTAGTTTATTTATTAATTAAATTGCAAAATATACGACCCACATATTGATCAGAAAAAAAAGAACGAATCAAAACAAATATTAAATATTCAAAAAAGAATTGTACGGCTTGATCAACCACTAATAGCAGGAATTTCACGTTCGGAAATTTCAAGAACACATGTGACATGCGTATTTTTCCCTTCAACCACAGATATGTCGAGTACCAATGTTTGCTAAAAAAATTCAGTCGAATAAAATATCAAAACTAATTGAATTTATATTTGCATATTTCCCGTATTTTTCAAAAAGCTGCAGGCACATTAAATTCCATCTCCATCCACTCTGCGGCATACTAATCAACGACGTGCTAAACACGCACGTGTGGAACTCAGCCCTTGTACGAAATTACTGGAAACGAGTGTACGAATCGAAGGAACATTTTCGTCAATGAATGTGCGGTAAATAATCAATTTTGGGGAGTGCATCGAGATAATCGAGTCGCCGTTGAAACGAGCAAACTTCGTTAAACGTTATCGTATGAATCGCATTAACTTATTACTAAACACGCGTGCAGAGGTGTAGGCCGCGGCGGGGAAAGTCAATAGAGAATTACGATTCTAAGTGTACTTACCATCATGCGTTCGACAAATTGCAAATTCGCAGATCCGCCTCGTCGTTGCAGATTGCGTTCCGCTGGTCTCTATGGAAATGCGTGTTTTGCATGCATACGGAAAACTATGAAATATGATCGAATGGCCAAGTTGCAAATTAAGGCTAACAGGCAGGTTGATTAAAAATTGAAAGGAAATTAGGTTTCGTGGTTGCTAGATTTCTTTTGTTCGTTATTTATTCTGTTTTTTGTTTTTCTTTCTTTTTTATTTTAGAGGCTTTATCCAATGTTCTTCTTTGTCTATTTTTCTCTGTTTTTAAATTTTTAATTTCGGGTTAATAGTTACTAGTTAAGCTAAAAGTCGATAATGACTACATTGTCCAACAAATTTTAATTTTTCCTCTTATTTGTAATATTCATGAGGTGATTCTTGTAGAGTCTACTTTTCCAAACACGAATCCGTAATCGAAATTGCTCTATCACTAACAATTAGTTATAAAAAAATGTGAGTTTTTCTAAAAACACGATTTTTGGCTAAAATGAATATTATATAAAAAGTCAGAACGTAAGAGGTTCATTCTTCTATCTTAAAAGGTCTTAAAAGTTGAATGAAGTATCCCGAGTTTATCAATGTTCATAATTATAATTATTTGCGTTTCTAAATAATTATATTTGGACATTAAAGTTTAAAAATAGGCCTCCATGCTAACAATCGAAATTCTCATGGAATTCTAAATTCTTTCCAATTATTAGAATAATCTCCAGATAAATTTTTATTTTCGTTCCTTTTTTATTTTTAGAAAAATTGAATTCGTCGATTTTTAATTTATTATATATATGATAATATCATTATCATAGTAAGAGAAGCTCTGTCATTTTGCTTAAGTTTAAGTAAATAAAATTTCGTTTCTGAGAGTTTAATGGTAATGACGTTAGCTAAAAGTGGAAGTGGTGGTAGTCACGGATATAAATGCTTTGTTCGTTCGATAATTGATGTAAACGTATGTGCGTAGCTGGCACTCTTGTGCTCTTGCGCCAAACCACGCTTCCAATAGCAACTTAATGGCGATGGTGCAAATTATGTTACACAAAGTAAAAGACACTTGTACTATAGTTAATGTCCTTTACTGTGGAGAAAGCGGTTAGAAATTTTGGTAGCATTATGCGTTTAAGAGCAATTATGCTCTTTCAATTGAAAGTACAATTTGGCTCATTCGATATCTCAGTTACACACACAGTGATTCACAGAAGTATCGATACCTTCAATTCTTGGTTTTAAATGATTAGTATTCTTTGACAACAAGATTAACAATTCTTATCAATAAAAATATACATTATACATTTTTAGCCTTTTGAACTACAATGACGAGTCTAACACGAGATTTTCCTGTCAAATCTCACAATTATACGTTATACTAATCACGCTACCGTAATTATATTTCACATGTTCTAATGTGCACAAAATTCGAAGAATATTTAAAATTTTTCTCCAATTTTATCGTGGAATTATTATGGAATCATTATTTTTATTCATTATTTTTTATCGTGGAATTTATATGCATAGTGGTTAAGTAAAATTAAATAATACTTCAATGTATAAATTTTCATAATTAAATTGTA